ATGCACAGTGGGGCTTCTGCCCGCCTGGGCACTGCGTCTCACTTAGGGCAGGGCCTGGCGAGAGCGCAGTCAGCACCACCCAGGGAGCGTGCCAGCCAGGCTGGACGGTGCTGGCACGTGATGAGCCAGGGCTGGCCCAGTGTCCCAGCGTAAGGGACATGGGGGCTGCAGAAATGGCCCTCCCCTGACTAGCAGTGCAGCATCTGTCCAGCAGCTGTGGGGCTCACACACTGCCCTAGGGGCTGAGGCTGGGGCTGCTCAGCTGAGCTGGAACCTGAAGAGTAGCAGGACTGGGCACCAGAGCAAGATGGCAGAGAAGGCTGAAGGACTAGGCCATGTACTGTGCTTCTCAGGGCAGTTGTGAGAACTGTGTTCTGCAGCAGCAAGAGCCCCTCTCGCTCTCTAGAAAACAGATCGAGGTGCAGATTCTCTTCTCTTTCTACTGTGAGCCCTCTTTGGCTTGAGCCACTATGGTAAGCCTGGGCAGGGAATGGAGAAGGGAAAGCCTGCTGGAGCTCTTGAGGAGCTTCTGGTCAGGTCCACAGGTGAGCCAAGACACACTGGCTTGAGCATTGCTGGCTTTGCCTTCTCAGGAAGAACAGTCTTGCGTGAGAAGCGTGGTCCTCCAGGTCTCTTTTCTGCAAGTTTTGGTGTTTGAAGACACTGCTCTGCAGCGGGAGCTCTGAAGCGCAGTCTTTATGTCCATACAGAGGCTCTGGGGGCAGAGGTGTGAGCCCACTGGAGCCTGGGCTCCTCCATGGTTGGATGTGGACTTGGCCACTCTAGCCCAGGGGCCCTGCTGGCCAGCTCACTGTCCCTCTAAAGCTGAGTAGCCTACACTCGCTTCTGGAGTGGCATGGCATTTGTGTGAGCGCCTCTTTGGGTGCTGCATGAATCAGCCCTTGCTCATCCTTGGCTGTGTCTATCAGCTACTGTGGCAGATGCACCCTGGCACCCCAGCCCGGTCTTCCCCAGTCCAGGCTGTTGGAAGGACATTGATGACCTGCCCAAATGCTCCCCAGATGTTGAACCATCACCCTTGCTTTCCTGGACTCTGGACTGAGGCCGAGACCACCCACTGGTTTGTCCCTCCACACCAGCTCTGCAGGTATACCCACCTCCTGTTTGCACTGCCATGGTGCTGCTGGAGCTTTACCTGACTTCCCTGCGTTCCCAGTTCATGGCTGGAGGCCCTGTTGCCAGGCAGACTTGGCCTCGGCTCCGGCTCCGCGATGCTCACAGGCATGCGGGAACCGCAGTTCAGCGCCACCTGGGACTTGGCCACAGCTCCTACTTCTAACATTCTGTTACTATCTTTAGAAACTCATCCTTACTCCATTGTGCACTAATTGCCAAAAATAACCCTGACTAACGAACTTAATTAGATTCCTGTGCCAGGAATTCCTTGGTCCCAGTTCACAGCACGCACACCCGGTAATAGGACCCAGAGGAGAAGCCAGAGTGTCTGGGAGCCCGCCCTCACCTGCGTCTTCAAATAACTTCTTGCCTCTGCCGAAGGTGGGATGTGAGAAATAAGATAAACTTACTATCATTTGCTTAATATAGGAGGCTGGCACCCACACTTGCCAGTTGGGGCTAAATATAGAAATGGGGGCATCTCAGATCCCCGCCCTCTGAGTGGGCAGCACCGCGGGCTCCAGGCTCGGCTGGCGCAGCCTGCGGCCCGGGAAAGGAACATGAAGCCGCTATTTTTAATCCCGTCAGCATGTTGTCAATACTTTAAGAGGAAAAAAAACAAAAACCTGTAAGCAGTTAAATGTTAGATTCAAAAATATCTTTGGTACCCAGTATTTATCTACATGCTAGTGGCCAACCAGTTCTGGTTGTTGTTTTTTGGGTTCCCCCTCCCCTTCCCATAATTCCTGAAGCGAGTGCAGTCTCCAAAGACAGCAAATCTACAATTTTGTTGTCATCTTTTAAATTACTGATCTTGGGAAGTGCGCACGGCCCACAGTGGACTGTAATTTGCTCAAGTTATTTTCTTGATGTTGGCGCTCACTGTGCCTAACTGGAAACAGTGAGGGGCTTCCTGTGGGCACCTGGAAGAGGCATTGTAGACAAGCTTGGCACTTGGTAGTTTGATTCATGGGCAGGCGGGCGGGCGGGTGGGCAGGAAAGCAAGGTGGGCTGGTGGCTCCTTTGGGTGGCGGCATGCCAGCTGGACAGGCAGCTTTGAACCAAGCACAGGGCTGTTCTGTTTTGACAGAATTTAACCCATGTCACTGGACACATGGCGATGTTTATGCGGTCATGGATGGGGCATGGGTGATGGAAAGCTTTACAGGCAAGCACTTCCCCGTGGTGTGAGAGCCACTCCTGCGCCGGCCTCATGACCTCATTTCCTGTGACAGGCGACAAGTGGGTCTCAATTCAGCATGTGCAGCACATAGGCCTGCTTCTCCCTGGCAACAGGGGGGGAGGGAGGGCTTAATGCTTGATTGCAATTAATCTGTAACTAATTAACAGATCCGTTCCTGTCTCCTTTTTTTGGAGTCACTGGAGTTTGCACACATGCTCTACTGCTGAGCCATGCCCTGTTTTTCACTGGTTACTTTTGAGATAGGATCTGGCTTCCTGCATGGACACACACCCGAACACAATGTGCCTCTTTTAGGCTTCCAATCACTGCTGGGGTGACAAGCGTGTACCACCACACCCTGCTTCTTTCTGTTGAGAGGAAGGCTCCAGGACCTTTCTGTAACGAGGATTGCCTGGAATTGCAGTCCATCTACTCTCAGCCTTGCATATAGTTTAGGGTGAGAGGTGCACACCATTGTGCCCAGCCGAGTTAGAAAGAAGTCTTACGAACTTTTCTGCCAATGATTTTAGCCTCCATATAGAAGTGAGAGCCTGTGATATTTGTTGTTCCGTACCTGGCATATTCCGCTCAACGGAATATTCTCCAGTGCCGTCTACATTGCTGCAAATGACAGGATCTCATTCTTTGTTATGCCTGACTAGTAATCCATGGTGTCAAGTTGCCATTTATTCATGATGGACATCTCAGTTGCTTCTCTTATGAATAGTGTTACAAATGAACGTGGGAGAACAGGTGGCTCTTGGTGTAATGATTGCATTTTCTTTGGATCTATGCCCTACTAATAGCAGCATTGCTGGGTCATGTCATATGGTCGTTCTGTTTCCAGTGATTTTTGTTTGTTTAAACTGGGGTTTGAACTCAGGGGTGGCACTTTCTAGACAGGTGCTTCATCCTCTGACTATGCCTCCAGTCCTTTTTTGCTTTAGTTGTTTTCCCCATAGGGTTTTGTTTTTTTGTTTTTTGTTTTTGCCTTGGGTTGGCCTCAGACTGTGATGCTCCTATGTATGCCCTAGGGTCACTTGATTTACAGGTATGTCAGCCAGTGGAATCTCTCCAAGTTTTTGCCTGGACTGACCTCAAACCATAATCCTCCCAATCCCTGCCTCCTGAAATACCTGGGATTCCAGGTATGAGCTACAATGCTTAGCCACTGTTTTCATAGTGGAGATACTTACATCCCTATCAGACAGTGTCTTTAATACTTTTGTGTGAAATAATACAAAAATTGTTTACTTGTGATATTAAAAAAAATTTAAAAAGCTCATGCCTGTAATCCTAGTTACTCAGGAAACTTGAGATCTGAGGATCATGGTTCAAAGCCAGCTTGGGTAGAAAAGTCCCCTTAAGATTTATCTCCAAGAAGCCAGGCGTGGTGGCTCACGCCTGTAATCCTAGCTACTCAGGAGGCTGAGATCTGAGGATCGCGGTTCAAAGCCAGCCCGGGCAGGAGAGACTGTGAGACTCCTATCTCCAATAAACCACCAGAAAACCGGAAGTGGTGCTGTAGCTCAAGTGGTAGAGCGCTCGCCTTGAGCTGAAGATCTGAGGGACAGCGCCCAGGCCCAGAGTTCAAGCCCCACGACTGACCAAAAAAAAAAAAAGATTTATCTCCAAGGGGCTGGGAAGGTGGCTCAGTGGTAGAGCACTTGCCTTGCATGCATGAGGCCCTGGGTTCGATTCCTCAGCACCACATAAGCAAAAAGCTGGAAGTGGCGCTGTGGCTCAAGTGGTAGAGTGTTAGCCTTGAGCTGAAGAGCTGAGGGACAGTGCCCAGGCCCAGAGTTCAGGCCCCACAACCGGACCCCCTCCCCCAAAAAAAGATTTATCTCCAATTAAGCACTCAAAAACTGGGAGTGGAGCTGTGGCTCAAAGTGGGAGATTGCTAGCCTTGAGCAAAAGGGTCAGGGACAGTGCCAGTGCCCTGACTGAGTTCAAGCCCTACAACTGACAAATTATTTTGGATCATTTTAGATTTTGGCTTAGGAAACCTGCCCAGCCTGTATGGTCAATTCTGGAACATTCCATCACCTGGAAAAGAAGCCCTGTTCCCTTTAGCCATGTCTACTCCCTGTCTCTTGGGACCCATAGAATCCATTCTTTGCCTAGTCCCCTGACCTGGCAGGTCATGGGGTGGCCCATCAGCTCATGGTCCTCCATGTTGCTGGGTGTATCACGTGAGTCCTTCTGTGCTGCATAGATAGGTCTTGTTTTGTGTACATTTGAGTTGTTTCCCTTGTTCGGCTATGATAATCAGAGAAAGGTAAAATGTGTATGGGTTTCTGCCCACTGTGTTTTCCTGCTGCTTTTGGGCATTTCCGTCCACGGTGTGGACTGGCAGGACCCAGGGGCACCTTTCCCGATGTCACTAGGCCTGAGGGCCTGAGCACCACGTCCTTGTAGCCCTCCAGTGGGCAGAAAGGGGTGTCGGGGAAGGACAGCGCAAGGGCTGTCATTGCTCAGGGACCTTCAGTGTCAGCTGGGGCCATGTTCAGAAGCTCCGCGGAGAGCAAAATTTCAAATGAGAGCCACGGAGTGCCTCGCTCTCGTGTGGCACACCCACAGCCAGCCGCAGCCCTGCTGGGGGGAGGGGAGCTTCTTCCTAGGGTGTGAACTAGCCCCCCTCCCCAGTCTCACCTGCCACTGGCCCCTTTCTCCACAGGTGTCACCATGAAGCTCATGGATGAGGTGGCTGGGATCGTGGCTGCTCGCCACTGCAAAACCAACATAGTGACAGCTTCTGTGGACGCCATTAATTTCCATGATAAGATCCGAAAAGGTACCAGACTCCTGGGGAGAAGAGGGGGTGGTGGCCCTCGGGCTACGGGGTCCCTGGTCTCCGCGCCCTTTGTGCTCAGCCTGGCGTCTGCTGGGGTGCCACGGGAAACAAGGCAGAGCTTTTTGCTTTGTCTTTATGAACACACGGTGCAGCTAGTGTTTTATTGGCTTAATTTTTCAATCTGGGGAAATCTGCAACACCAGCATGATGGCAGCCTTTGCCTGCCTGAAGTCCAGCATGAACTCCTTAAAACCAGCAGTTTGCAGTTCCGTAACTGAGAGCAGGGTATGCTGTGCTTAGCCTATGGTGCCTGGGGCTTTAGGGTGGGAAGGGGACGGGACAGACGGCATCACTGACCTCTGCTTTCCAGGATCCCTTCCTAACCAACCGTGCATGTTGGCAGCCTAGAATACAGCATCACTTCGGAATTGGCTTTGCCCTGTCCTCAGGCTCTCCAGTATTCTGGGTGCTAGTGCCGGGTGCTTGGGTACTGGGTGGCAGAAGCCTTTGGGAAAAAGAATCTCCTCCCGTGGTGGTGTGGTGTGATTCCACGACTTTCTAGAGCCACCGCTTAGGAAACTACTGTCAAATACAGATCCAGACTCACAGTGGTGGAAGTACTTGGTTTCCGTGGAACTTGATTTGCTCAGTTGTCCACATGTGGCTTTAGAACCACTAAGAGAAGAGAGACTTGCCTAAGCAACAGCCAGAAACCACCTTGAAGGAGCTCAGTGGCTCACACCTGCAGTCCTAGCTACTCAGGAGGCTGAGATGTGAAGTTTATGATTACATGCCCAGCCCAGGAGACTTTTAGCTCCAATTAAACAGCAAAAAGGCAGAAGTGGAGCCAAGGTTCAAGTGGTAGAGCACTACCTTGAGAGGAAAAGCTAAGAGACAGTGCCTAGACCCTGAAGTCAAGCCCCAATATCTGCAAAACAAAAACAAAAACACTGGAATTGGATGGGTTTCCTAGGGTTATTTCAGCCCTCTAGAAAACATTAGGTAGTTCAGATGGGGCCTGGGAAGATAGACTTCCCATCTAAGGGTGGATTTATCTGGGCCACAGAGGACACCTTCGTTTCTAGAAACCCTGACCTCTGCAAGGCGCCCCATGTGCACTGAGGAGATTGCACAGAGCCTGGTGGCTGAGCTGCTCACAGAGGCCAGGACAGCTGAAGAGCTCAAGGGAGGCCCTGCCCCCTGCAGCCTGCTCTCCCTGGCTGCCACAGCCTTGGCCTTTGCACCTCTGGCCTGGGACCCTGAGAGACACTTGGGGAGCACAGACAGGGTTGCTGTTTTCCTAGGTGACGTCTTGTTTTGGATATGAGGAAATTTGGGCCAGACTGAAATAGCAGATGTGGAGTCTGACCTACTTCTGTGCCCGCGTCCCCGGCCCTTAGACGCTGTTACACCTTGTTTGTTGTCTTTAGAAGAGTGTCACTGTGGGTCAGGAGCAGTGTTCAGCACAGGAGCCTGCCTGGGAATGGCCAGAGAGCCACGTCTCCATCCACATGGCTCAGGTGGGGTTGTGGCACTTTGTCTTGAATGCTTCAAGGCACAGGGCACTGCTGTCTTCGGCCCGTGCCTACTGTTCTTACAGGAAGGTGCAGAGCGTCACCTGAGTCCTCGTTGGCTCTGGGCACTGTCCCTGGCTAGTCCACTCCTCCCTCCCTGCTATATCGTAGACAAGGCTTGCAGGGCTGACCTGCCAGCACTCCAGCAGAGGTGTGACACATCAGAGTCCAGGGTAAGGTGACATTAGCAGAGCCTGCAGAACTGCTGGCTGCCCAACCCTTGCCTTGTGATTTGTCTGCGGCCTGTGGGGCTTATGAAAGAACTGTGGGTTGGTTCCCAGGGACCACAGCACAGGCTGCACATAAACAGGTTCAGTTCTGGATCTGAGAGCCCAGAAATCTGAAACCAAGGTGTTGCATGAGCACATCCCTTTGGGTCTCTAGTGAAGACCCACCTGCCTCTTCCCACTCTGCATATCCCTTGGCTTGCCTGGCCTGTGGCCACAGCTCATCAGTCACTGCCTGTCTGTTTTTCAGAAGACATGCTTCGGACTTGGGGTCTAGGATTGTCTCATCTTGAGATCCTTACCTCAGTTACATTTGCAAAAACCCTTATTCCTACCCGGCACCAGTGGCTCATGTCTATAATCCCGGCTACGCAGGAGCCTGAGATCTGAGGATCCTGGTTTGAAGCCAGCCTGGGAAGGAAAGTCTGTGAGACTCTTATCTCCAATTAACCAACAACAACAAAAAAAGAAAAGCCAAAAGTAAAGCTGTGGCTCAAGTGATAGAGCTCTAGTCTTAAGCAGAAAAAGCTCAGGGACAGCGCCCAGGCCCTGAGTTCAAGCCCCAGGACTAATATACAAAACCAGCACAACCTTATTCCAAATGAGGTTATTGTCTGCAGTCATGCATGCACATGAATGACTAGGGAGACGCACTGCTCAATCTTCTGCCCTTGATGTTTGATTCTCTGGGCTCACTCGCTCCCTTTGGTAGGACCATGCCTCATACCCCATTCCCACACTCAGTGCCCATGCGGATGTAGGTCCTTCTCCCTCGAGACCAGCCTGGAGAGAGACTGCTCAGAGCCACAGAAGAATGGGCCACAGTTTTGAGATGAGCACTCATCTGGCCTGGTGAGGAGAGCAAATCCAGTGGAGTTACTGCTTCTGATCTGACCTGTCCTCCCTGGGTAGACACTTCTCCAAGTCTCAGGGGAGAGGGCTCTGTGGTAGCTCCCTTCAGCCACATGTCACATGCAGAAGAGCAGTCCTTTGTGCAGCAGCCTCACGCCAGGCCACGGTGGCCCAAGCAGGAGGGGTGTCCACCAGAAAGTCACTTGCAGCTTTGTATCGTCACTCATCCATGATCAAGGACTGAGGTTGGCCAGGCAAAATGTGTGCAGAGAGCTGGCTTGCTGTACCCAGGTGGACAAATCCAGGATCAGCGTTCAGACAAGGAAAGATTTCAGCATGGCTTCTGACCATGCTGGCTGCCCAGGCCCCTGGCAGGGCGGCACACTCATTGTTTGCAAACGTAGTTCTAGGGCGCCTTTGCTCTAGTCTAGGGCCCAGGCTAGGGCCAGTACACGCCTACTCTGGCATTCTCTCTTACCACCACCTGTCCTTTCTCTCAGCTTCCATCAGTGGCTGCCCACGCGTGGTACCCATGATCAGCCTGGTGTTCCAGGTGATTCCTTGGCAGGTGTGTGCCGGGCTCTCGAGAGCTGGGAGGAGTGTCTGGAGACCTGCCGCCTTGCCTGCAAAGCCACTGCAAGCTCCCCACAGCATGGATGCCGGGGGCAGTGGACCACAGGAGGCCAGGGACAGGGGTGGGGGGATCCCAGGACAGTACAGAAGGCCAGGAGCCACCCAGTGGGTGGCACAGCCTATGTCACCCAGGGCAGGTGATGAAGCCAGACCATGGGAATGTGATGTGCTCTTTCCAGGTCTTGCTCCAGTTTTTGCCCCCAGTGGAGAGGTTACAATGCCTAGGCAGTTGTTAAAAGTTGAGCTGGGCATTGGTGGCTCACACATGTCATCCTAGCTACTCAGGAGGCTGAGATCTGAGGAGCGCTGTTCAAAGCCAGCCTGGGCAGGAAAAGTCCATGAGATGCTTATCTCCAATTAACCACCAGAAAACTGGAAGTGGTACTGTGGCTCAAGTGGTAGTGCACTTGCCTTGAGCTGAAGAGCTGAGGGACAGTGCCCAGACCCAGAGTTCAGGCCCCACGACTGACAAAAATAAAATAAAATAAAAGCTGGGTGCTGGTGGCTCATGCCTGTAATCCTAGCTACTCAGGAAACTGAGATCTGAGGATCATGGTTCAAAGCCAACCCAGGCAGGAAAGTCCGTGAGACTCTTATCTCCAATAAACCACTAGAAAACCGGAAGTGGTGCTGTGGCTCAAGCATTAGAGTGCTCTCCTTGAGCTGAAGAGCTGAGGGATTGCGCCCAGGCCCAGAGTTCAAGCCCCATGACAGACAATAAATAAATGATAAAATAAACGTTAAAGGGGGACCTACCTTGAAGCAGTGGGGCTGGGAGTGTTAAGAAAACCTAAAGTCGAAGTTCTCGTGGAGACACGATCTCCCGGGGCCTGGCCCTTTAGGAGGTCCCTGTGGGGCAGGGCTGCGGGGCAGGCACCGCTCTCTTCATAAACTTGGGAGCACTTGCCAACCTCTCAGGCTTGGGAACCACTACTTTTTATTATTTTGTTTTCTTTTCCAAATCCCTGGCGTACTGCTGCAAATCTGGCTGCTGCCTGGGAGCCCGGCCGTCTCTGGGGGCGTCGGCCGGGGCATCTGCCAGCCTCGCGGCGCCCCGCCCCCTGCCGGCTCCCTGGCATTTAAAAGCAGACAGTATCTGCCATTCACAACTCAGCCTACTTGCTATGTTTGTCCTCCTAGCTTAGCTAGAGTCGTTCACTGCTGACAGCCAGCTCTGTCCCTGGCTTCCCATGGCGGTGGCACGGGAGCTGTGGCAGCCACGCAGCCACTGGGCTCGCGCCACCCACAAACCCCCAGCTGGCGCTCTAGCCTCATCTGACGGCACCAGAGGTGGAATTCAGCCCTTGGGGATCAAACGCAGCACTGCCTACCTTAGGTGCTGTGTGGGAGCTGCTTTTTGAACCCTAGAGCTGAGCTCCTCCTTGGCCTTCACCCAGGCTCAGTTTTCCTACTGAATTTGGGAATCAGCAGAGCCTGATGCAATCTCCTGCCTCGTGCGACTCTGCCCTCTGTTTTAACGGCATGACCCACATGACTGTTGGTTATCATTGGATTGAAAAGTACAGCCAGCCATGGTAGCATATGCCCATAATCCCAGCTACTCGGGAGGCAGAGGCAGGGGAGAGTCATGAGTTAGAACCAGCCTTGGTGGAGATATCAAGAACTATCTTAAAACCAAAATAGGAAGAAAAGGGCTGGGGGCATGGCTCAAGTAGTAGAGTACTTGCCTGACATGGTACAAAGCCTACAGTTCCAGTTCCTTGGGAGGCTGAAGCAGGTGGAGCACGTGCCCAGCAGCTCGGGCCATGCTTGGACAAGACCGACCTGGCTCCCAAAAACTAAAGAAATACTTGGAGCTTCACAAAGTACTCATGTTCCTGATGTTGTCATTATACTTCTAATTAAGACAAGCAACAGCCAGAAATCCAGTAAGCCACATCAGAACTGCCCGGTTTACCCTCCAACCTGGGTAGCTGTGTTCTTTTTTAGGATTAAACAGATTGGGCTACCTGCCGGTTCTAGGGGGTCAGAACTCTAATGTAGGGGCTGGGAAGGTAGCTCAGTGGTAGAGCACTTGCGTTGCATGCCTGAGGCCCTGGGTTTGATTCCTCAGCACCACATAAGCAAAAAGAAAAAAGCCGGGAGTGGCGCTGTGGCTCAAGTGGTAGAGCGCTAGCCTTGAGCTGAAGAGCTGAGGGACAGCGCCCAGGCCCAGAGTTCAGGCCCCACGACTGGACCCAAAAAAAAAAAAGAACTCTAATGTAGTCTTACCAGGTGCCACAGGGCAGGCTCTCGGTGGAGACTCCATCCCTCTGTGTTCCCCATGTTAATGACTTGGCACCTGGTCCATCCCCCACCTCTAGGTTGGCATGTGGCATCTTTAGCCATCTTTCCATCATGGCATATCCCTGATCTCTTCTTCTACTTTCTTGCATGGGCTCTCCTGTCTCATCTGGGTTATTCTCCATCTTAAGGTCCTTAGCCTAACCCCATCTGTGAAGGGGTTCTTAGGCTCCAGCAATTAGGAGGTGGGCATCTCCGGGACCATCATTCTGAGGACCACAGACCACAGTTCACTTACATGGCCACCACATGTTCATGAGCTCTGCCTTTTCCTGTCCAACTCACGTCAACGGAAGTGTGTGGGCAGGACTCTGGCAGAGATCCTATGTGAGAGAAGGTTCTGTATAGCTTAGGGCCCCTGGGGCACAGCCATGTCTCCACATCCAGGGTCATGCATGGGCATGCTGAGCTATAGCCCAGCCACAGGCTTTCCCAGGCAGAGCGCAGTCATATCTCAGTGTCACGTCTGGGACCCGGGGAGAAGGGATGGCCTATTTTAAGGTCTGCCGTCCATGTTCTTTACAAGCTGGAGATGCTAGCTCTAAATCCTGTCTTGCCACAGCCCATGGTCTTCATTCAACCGTGCAGAGAAAAGAACATGGGCTGGGTTCTGCAGAAGCGGCCTGTCGACCTGTGGACAGCTCCTCGTTCACGGTGGCGTCCTGTCTAGGATGTCCCTGCATGGGGCGCCCTCCTGGCCACCCTCTGAGCTGGATGCGCGGACCCTCGCCTCTTCCAGGGCTGCCACTCTGATGCAGACACTGAGGTGGCGTGGGGGGAGCCTGGGGCTCCGCACAGCAGCACAGCCCAGGCAGCTCTCTGGCCAGGGACATATGGACGTCCGCGATGGACGAGCTAGCTGCAGACAAGGCGGGAAGGCCCTTATAGATGGCACGGTGGAGGAAGAGGCCAAGTCTTGGGATGGGAGGCTTGAGCTGAGCCGCGGAGGGGGATCCAGCCCACAGTGGAGGGAGGAGGTGGTCTGGGCGCAGGAGACGCCATTATGAAGAATAGTGGAAGCGAGGCTCCGCCTCCTTGGCCACTGAGACTCGGAATTTGTCTCTTGACTCCAAAGTTTCAAGTTCAGTCTCAGCCCATTGCTAACCAGATCACCGTTCTGCTCCAAAGTGGCTGTCCGTGTGGCTGTCCGAGTCTGCCACTAGGGTCAGGCTGAGGCTTGCACTGGAAGACGACGGCTCACGAGAGGCGGTGGTTGACGTGGTATTGGTAGGAAGTGAACGCAGCATCGAGGCTGTCCAGGGCTCTGCGCCCTTCCCCCCCCACACACCGGGCGCTCTGTGTCCAGGGCTCTGTGGGCCCCCTGGGCGCTCTGTGTCCAGGGCTCTGCGGGCCCCCCTGGATGCTCTGTGTCCAGGGCTCTGCGAGCCCCCCTGGGCGCTCTGTGTCACAGCCACTTCCGCCCTGGGCCTTCTTCAGATTTGTGACATACCGGAGGGAAGAGGCCAGCAGACTTCCTCAGAGGTTTCCGCTCGTGGGTCCTCAGTGAGCAGGGTGTTGCTTAGGTATCTGGGGAGGGAGATACAGGACTCAAGGATGGCCAGGTCACCTCCCAGCCCCTGAGTTGGAGGTTGGGCTACACTCGGTGTGGGGGCATCTGTCCTGGCGTGTGTCTAGGGATGTGCAACCATGTGACTGTGCACCACAGCCCATCATGCCACCGGCCACTGACCGTGTGGCTCCTTCCTTCTCTCCCAGAAATGGCCGTATCCCGCACACAGCACCCCTAGTAAGTATGAAGTTGAATGTGGCATAGAACTTTCTGGTTCTTGTTAACATAGAGTAGCCTGTGTTGCCCCCATTGACTCTCTCTCTTTCTCTCTCTGGGTCTCTAAGTGTGTCTTGTGGGGCCTGTCTCAAAGCTGGTGTGGGAGATGGGGTCTCAAAGGGCCTGAATACTAGGTCCAGGGGCTGCGCGGTCAGGGAGGCCGTGCTGGGCGTGGGGGGAGCTGACAGTCAGGCACAGGCCTTGCTCTGGAAGCCCTCACGGTGGCAGTGCCAGCGGTGCGCTCACGCCAGGCCCCTATCCCCTCACTCGAGCATAGGTCCTCACCTACCCATTATAGCAGCCACGCAGAGCCTTGAAAGCTGAGATTAAGAGATTGTGCTGAGATCAGGGGCAGCCAAGGCTACAGAAGGGTCCAGGTCTTAGAGCAAAGGCCCAGGTGGAACCCCATGCCCAGGGGTGTGGGAAATCCAGAATGGATGACTTAGGGTTGAGGGAAAAAGGAACCCAAGGGACCCACAAGACTGTGAGGTTCAAGAAGCAGTGAGCCTGAGCTCAGTCCAGCGGCTCAGAGGACAAAGCCTCAGGCCTGGGCAAGGCCAGCGGAAAGGCTGAGTGGACACCGAGACCCCCCAGGATGGGAGCAGGGAGGGGATGCATGGGCCGGAGCAGGAGGTGGCTCAGGAGAGTCCTAGGACCACAGTCAGCTTGACAGCATGACTGTGTCAGTCCAGTGTGGAGAATGAAGGCTTCAAAAGGTGCTTTCATGGTGTGGCCCTGTGGGCACCAGCAAGTCTTTAGAGAGAAGGGCGGGTTGCAGATGCGCCCTAAGGAAGGACTTGACTGAGGGCAGAGGAAATGGCTGGCACGTAACATAGAACACACATGGGCTACTAATGGTGCCTTCTAATGGTTTGTCATACTGGTGTCCTGGTGCTACTGCTGCCCATGTCTCCTAACCACGTGTCTTTTAACCGTCCTCAGCCATGCTCTTTTCTCCCAGCCACCCGTGGGGGCAGAGGCCGCTTCCTAACATCTCCTTCCCTTGCTCGTAGGCTGTGTTATCACCATTTCCGGACGCATGACTTTCACGAGCAATAAGTCCATGGAAATTGAGGTCCTGGTGGACGCTGACCCTGTGGTAGACAACTCACAGAAACGCTACCGGGCCGCCAGTGCCTTCTTCACCTATGTGTCCCTGAGCCAGGAGGGCAAACCGCTGCCTGTGCCGCAGCTTGTGGTAAGTGTGCGTCCTCAGGTTCAGGACCCATCTGGGGGGGTCAGAGTGTGGCCCAGGCCTGGCCACTCCCTGGACTTAGATCTCAGGCCGTGGGCAGATGGGGCAAGGTCTGAGGAAGGAGCACCTCATGAGCTTGCGGAGAGGCCTGTGAGCTCTGCCCCACTGGCTGCCGGGCGAGCCTGGGCACACCGGCCGCTGCTGGCCTGAAGGTGCAGGTTACCTGGGATTCCTGGTGTTGCTCTGACCTGACTGACAGCTGTGTTTCAGATCTCTAGTCCTCCATGCCTTCAAGGGGCCTTTGGGGACCCCAAGGAGAGGGCTCATACAGGGGCTTTAGCCTGTGGATCACCTGGTGCAGAACAAGCCAGACCCTGGAATGTAGCGTGGAGAACTGAGCTTTCAAGCCACCTCCTTGCCTTGGGCACCGAGCTGGGCCCACCCTGGGTGAAAATCCCCAGGCCGGTGCAGCAGTGCTGCACACGCTGCTGGGCCCATGTGGGTGCTGAGCGGCGTCCCGCTGCCTGGACTCTCCTCAGGGCCCTAGCTCTTAGCAGTTGTGTGACCTGCGTGAACTTTGTGTGTGCCTTGGTTTTCTTGTCTGCACAGCTGTACCGGGTGTAGAACCTGCCACAGGCATCATACATGAGGCCCAGTCAGGTCATCATTTCCTGCCAGTTTACCGCTCCTTCCCGAGCGCTCATCCTAACAGAAGAATGATGACAGGAAGACCGGGAGGGAGGACATCAGGGCTGTGCAGGGCACAGACAGACAGCCGGGGGCAGAAAGCAGAATCTGGAGGTGGCTACTGATAGGGCAGGGCCAGGGGCTAGCCTTGGAACATCTGGGCCATTCCTCTTGCGTATACCCATAGGGGTGTGGCCTGCAGCACTCACACAAATGGGCATAAGACCAAGGTCATCCCCCATGCTGGGACGCCATCTTGACAAGGCTTTGGTGCAGGTCAGTGGAGTCTGGTCTACAGATGGTGGTGCCTGCCCTGAGCGGTGGCGCCTCCTTCCTCACCATAGGCAGCACGCTCCCAGGCCCCTCCCTTCAGTTTCTCAGCACAGGTGCCAGGAGAACGTGGTACCCTGCCCTCCCCGGCTATGCAGTATAAGACCCCAAGGGACTGGTCTCCAGGCTGGGCCTCTGCCGGGAGCAGGCGAGGACAGAGGGACGCTGACCCCAGCAGAGGGTGGGGTGCGGGGCCTGCCTGGAGCGAGACGGAGGCACCTTGGTCTTCCTGGGGATCTAGAGTGTTCCCACTGTGAAGGATGGCGTCTCTGGGGCCCACCTGTACTGATGAAAACAGACTAGCCGGGAGGGCCGGTTGCACTCCCCAGGAGGGATTTCCAGCTCTGGCTGGCTTTCCCTGGTGCACGCTTAGAGACCAGCAACAGGAGCGCACACGTGGGCTGCACACGGCCACATGCCTGTGCTTGCGGCCCCTCCCACTCCAGCCTCGTCCCTACCCCCACCGAGGCTCATCTTCAACCTCCTGTCTATTTTTAGCTGCCTTCCCCAGGGCCGCTGACACGGAAGGCAGCCTCTCTGTTCTGCTTGGAGTTGCTGCGCCTGATGAATACTCCATGCTGGCTGGGGGCGGTCGCACACCTCAGGCCTGCCAGCCGTTGTGCTTTCCAGGCCAATGGTTAGAACTGGCGCACCTGTGCAGGAATGCGGGCCCTGCTGCCCAGCCTACCTGCGGGAATGTCCTCTGACCTCAAGGCTGGGGTGAGCCCCAGACCACTGGCCAGGGCTGGGAAACTGGCCTGTGGGGAGGGACAGCAGGGGAGCTTCCTCCAGTGACTCAGGACTGGTGCCCTGGGCACTAGCTCCAGGATGGCCCAGCACCTCGGTGTGTGCTTGTTTCCAGTGCGGGGTTAGCTATGAGGGCCATCCTGAGTCAGGACAGGGGCCAGGGGGCGTCCATGACGCCTGTGTGGGGCTGGGGGCGTCCATGACGCCTGTGTGGGCGCGTCCATGACGCCTGTGTGGGGCTGGGGGCGTCCATGACGCCTGTGTGGGGCTGGGGGCGTCCATGACGCTTGTGTGGGTGCGTCCATGACGCCTGTGTGGGGCTGGGGGCGTCCATGACGCCTGTGTGGGGCTGGGGGCGTCCATGACGCTTGTGTGGGGCTGGGGGCGTCCATGACGCCTGTGTGGGCGCGTCCATGACGCCTGTGTGGGGCTGGGGACGTCCATGACGCCTGTGTGGGGCTGGGGGCGTCCATGACGCCTGTGTGGGGCTGGGGACGTCCATGACGCCTGTGTGGGGCTGGGGGCGTCCATGACGCCTGTGTGGGGCTGGGGGCGTCCATGACGCCTGTGTGGGCGCGTCCATGACGCCTGTGTGGGGCTGGGGGCGTCCATGACGCCTGTGTGGGCGCGTCCATGACGCCTGTGTGGGGCTGGGGGCGTCCATGACGCCCGTGTGGGTGCATCCATGACGCCCGTGTGGGGCTGGGGGCGTCCATGACGCCTGTGTGGGGCTGGGGGCGTCCATGACGCCTGTGTGGGGGCGTCCGTGACGCCTGTGTGGGGGCGTCCGTGACGCCCGTGTGGGCGCGTCCATGACGCCCGTGTGGGGCTGGGGGCGTCCATGACGCCTGTGTGGGCGCGTCCATGACGCCTGTGTGGGGCTGGGGGCGTCCATGACGCCTGTGTGGGGGCGTCCGTGACGCCCGTGTGGGCGCGTCCATGACGCCCGTGTGGGGCTGGGGGCGTCCATGAAAACTTGAAGCAGAAGGATATGACCCAGCTGTCCAACACTGAGTGTCGGGCTGGTGCTAGGGACCCTCATTCTTGGCATCTGCATCTAAGGAACGGTGGCAGGAGCAGCTGGGGCCCAGACCTGGCTCCGTCGTTAGCCTTGGAAGGCCCGGAGCCTGTCTGCTGGGTTACAATGGGCGTGTAAAGAAATGGAGCTTGGGGGTCTGGGAAGGTGGCTCAGTGGTAGAGCGCTTGCCTTGCATGCCTGAGGCCCTGGGTTCGATTCCTCAGCATTACATAAGCAAAAAGACAAAAGCTGGAAGTGGCCCTGTGGCTCAAGTGGTAGAGCGCTAGCCTTGAGCTGAAGAGCTGAGGGACAGAGCCCAGGCCCAGAGTTCAGGCCCCACAACCGGACCAAAAAAAAAAACAACAAAGAAATGGAGCTTGGCCGTCTTCCCTACCCTTCTGCAGCAAGGCTCAGGTAGCCAGGGTGCTGCACAGCGGATGGGGTGAGGCCCGCCTTCTCCTGTCCCCTCAGCCCGCTCAAGGGCCGTGCCCCGTGTGCACCTCCTGCCCCGAGGCTGGTGATGAACTACAAGGAAGAGAGATCGACCTGACCTCAGAGTTGTTCCTTTGGAGGGTTTTTTGGTGCCAGCAGTGGAGCTTGAGCTGATCGTTTGGGCACTGTCCCTTAGCTCTTTCCCCCACTCGAGCACGGTGCTCTACTATTTGAGTTACAGCTTCACTTCTGGCTTTTTGGTAGTTAATTGGGGATAAGAATCTCAGGGATGCTCCAGCGCAGCTGCTGGAAACTTTGGTCCTCAGATCTCAGCCTCCTGAGTTACAGGCGTGAGCCACTGGCACCTGGCACTCGGTTTTTATTAGATTTCCATTACGGTGCGTGGTGGAGCAGAGCTGCTCACCGCATGGTGGCTGGGCAGCAGAGTGGGGACAAGGGACCCTTCGGGTCACCCCCAGTGCTGGTTTCCATCATGTCTCAGTAGGGCCATCAAAGCATGGCTCTGCCGCCTAGCCTGTCCCTCTCAGTAGTAGCACACAGTCAACACATCAGCCTCATCTAGGCTGCCGTCTGCTTAGGAAGATGGCATCCGCAGAGGCCAGCAGGATTGCATTTCCAGAGGAGGCTAAATAGTCATGGGGGGGGCCGGAGGGTGGGGTCCCTGGTGGTGGCTGTTGAGCTGAAGTCTTCACCCAGCACCCACTTTCTTCTCGCATCAGGAATGGGGAGAGTGGTCCCCTCCCCATGGAAGGCCTGTGAAGATCATACATTAGGCCAGCCTTGGGGCTCTGTCTAGGACCATCAGGCCCAGGAGAGGGTGGCTTGCTGCCCCTGAAGACCAAACTGTGTCTCTCTTCCCTGAGCTGGCCTCTGTTAGTGTGGAGTCCCGGCCGCTGTAGGTGTAGGCTCGGTGCCTGCCTCGGAGGGGTGGACTTGGTGTTGGAGATGTGGCCTCCCGCCAGACCCTGTGCAGTGCAGAAGAGCCACTGGCTTTCTCAGCTCACTATCTGTCTACTGTGCTGTGTGTGCCAGTGCTGAGACCTTTGTGCTAGCCCGATGGTCTTGGACCTCCTGGGCACTCACACGTCACCCCTCTGAGACAGCCACACCCATAGGCCTTCGCCCCTGTGAGCCTCCATGCATCTCTACAGGGGCTAGGGCACCTTGCAGCCAGGGGTCGGCTGTTGAGCCTTCTAGAAGTTGTCTGTGCTAGGGTGAGCTAGTGCAGCCGGGGCAGCTGCCGGCAGTGTTGCCTCTGGCTGTGGCTGCCGACCTGTCTCAGAGCCTGGTTGGCTTGAACCACGTGGCCATTGCTTTCTGGTCCCTCCGCTGGGTCCCTTGGTGACCCTCTGACGAGGCCTCCCGCCTTGCACAGGGCGCGGCCTGGGGCAGTCAGCCCTGCTCCCAGAGCCTCCTGAGGAAGCAGCGCCAGTCGAGGCGGCTTCCCCGTCCGTGGCCAAGGCCCAGGCAGGGCAGGAGTGGGCGGCTGTTCTCCATGCCTCGGCCTGGGAGGAGAGACATATCCAGTGTAGAAAGGAAACGTCTTCACCTTGGGGAGATCTTAGTGTTGTAGAAACCCAGGTACCACAAGTCCCCAAAGGTTTTAAGGGCCCCAGGGAACCCCACAGCCAGAAGAGACATTGAGTACTTTCTGGCCCTCTCTCGGGCCCTGGGGTCCGGTCAGGATGGGGTAGGACTCTGTCACACCACCGTGGGGCCAGCTAGCACTCTGTCTCTGCCTCCTTCATCCCTTCAGCCAGGGCTGGCT